ATTCCAAATAGAATACATTCGTTTGTGCTCATCTAGTACTTCTTGATTCAATTGCTTTATTTCTGGGAATCTTATTTTGTACTATAATTCAAATAATTCGAAACATTATAGAGTTGTAGGACACATAATTTGTACATCAAAATACATGACCCAATGTTATAAAGGCTTCGAGTTATGCAACCCATAATGCGATGAGACTAGGATGTCTGTTTCAATATCTGTTCCGTAAACGACAAATCGTAGGAGAACGCAAGCCTACTACTGTATATAGCTTAGATAACACCTCACAAGTTGTGGTAACATATAAGTTGAGTGATGGATTACCAAAGGATACCCATTTACAATTAGCTGTATTAAGCTCCAGCTGACATTTTAAGCTCTACTACGCTACCTTAATAAGCTTTATGATGATGCAATTTTGCATATTGTTCAGCTCGTGAGCAGGAAAGGAATACACTACTCTAAGTTCACCTGCATACAGAAGGGGCTTACCCGCACGAAAAACTCTCAAATATCACTGATAAACACTAAAAGATCACAGGGCGTAAGACACTACCTTGTATTATACCACTCATAATAAAGAAAGCGTTTGACAAGAAAAAGTCAATTTTATCTTTTTGATGTCGGTGGCTGAGGAAGGAGTCAAGCTGAGTGTTTTGAACCGCTTATAATGCCAGTTTATCCATGATCAGTTGGACGTTGAGCATGTAGAATACTTTAGAAATGTCAGAGTATAGAACGAAGACTAGATATCCTTGATTACTTTGAGAAAAGACTAAATTACAGAAGTCAGAGTGATTATGGTGACGTATATTCAATGATTTTTGTAAAGACGAAATAAAAACCGTATTTTCTCTCTAGTTTCTCACACTTTATATGTAACCACATTTTTATTCAATATCTGTTTCTAGATGGAGTGAATCCCTACCACTTATTTTACTAAGCATACGTTCCACAATTAAAGAAGACCTCCAATGTACTCCTGCAAAGCTCGTCTATGGAACTAATTTAACCTTACCGAGTCAGCTAGTGACGCATAATGGCAACCCGTATGTACAGATCCCACTTCTTTTAGCGAAAGACTATTGAGCCATATGAATAACACTAAGCCTGTTGCACCTCGGCCAGTTGTCTTAAAAGAGCAAGTTAGCAAGCATCTAGATACGTGTAAATTTGTATTTGTTCGTGTTGACTCCGTAAGACGTCCTCTACAACACCCTTATGAAGGATCGTATGAAGTAGTTGAGAGGCAAACAAAATATTTTACAATCATTAAGAACGGAAAAAAAGAAACAGTTTCAATTGACAGGGTAAAACCTGCTTTCGTATAGTATGAAACACATGACAGTCGAAAGCCGTCAAATGACAGCAGCAGCTTCACAACGCAGTTTCCTGTGTTTCCAGATAATTCTTCACCTACTTCTAGGAAATCAACACTTCGTAAAACAGACGATTCTAAAGTTACAGCTCCCACAAATTTAGCTCCTAGTTCCGCCACTCTAACTTCTACGAAAACAACTCGTTCAGGAAGACATGTACATTTTCCCAAACGTTATGTTGAACTCATTACTTAATCTTTATTTTGTCATTTTCTGTAATGTGGTTAAATATTGCAGAGTTACTTATAACAATTTTTTTGCAAGCAAAAATTGTTTTCTAAAAAAACATTTCGTGTGTACTACTAATATTGATAAATTCGTTTAATGGTGTAACGATATTCAACTTCGTTGGACTCGTTCAGTTTATCACTAATCGTCTACACGATTTATATACGTATTTACATTTTTCGATAAACTATTAATTTAATTACCGTTATTATCAATAACACTATTATTAATATTATTTTTGTTATTATACACTCCGTTATTGTTGTTAAACCTTTTATATACAGAAAAAAACAAGATACACATTTTTTTCTCTTTACTACAAGAGAAACATTTTGTTCGTAAATATGTATACACGTATGATTTTTTTATAACGTTTGTTTATCCTTTTCGTTGTGTAATTTTTTTCCCTCCAAAGCATTTAGAGTTTTACGTCGGGCATACTTCCACCGACGCATGCCCTGAGGGGGGAGTTATATGGTGACGTATATTCAATGATTTTTGTAAAGACGAAATAAAAACCGTATTTTCTCTCTAGTTTCTCACACTTTATATGTAACCACATTTTTATTCAATATCTGTTGTTTTTCTATATTACTTGTTAATAACGATGATAACTGTTTCCATGACTAATATACGATTTTACTACCGCGTGGTTTGAAAATATAAACCGCTATCTACACCGTTTGTTCTTCTGCTTTATTGACCACGGTTTTTGATTGAAGGCTATGATGGTGTTACAACATCCCTTTAGCCCTTCCGACACCACGTTGGAATTCTGGCGCGGGTTATTATATTATAGTACTATTGGACGCAATCTTTCTCAATACGCCTTTGGTGCAATTACTTGCAGAGGAACCTTCGTTAATCGAGTGAACTTATTTGTGGTTGTTATTCTCACGAGGCAGCTTTCAAGTAACATTCAGTCCATAATAATTGTTATTTGTTTGTTTAATATACCCTTTGTATTTTTAACTGTTATGTCCGAGTGGAGATTAAATTACAGGTAACTTCCGAGGACTATTCATGGACTAATATTCTATAAATATTCTTATTGTATAACTACTCAACAATTACACTATGTATATTTATATCCCTCTTATGACAAGCTTTATTTTGGCCTATAATTTATTATTGTACGATTTACGGTTCTTAAGTTATGTTCAGTTTATTAACTACTGCCTCCCACATTCACAGCCACTTTCTGGGCTTATTTGTGTACAAATATTATTTCCTATTTTATGGTACGTTGCGGTCTGTGTGATTGATATATAAACCAAGTATGCCTGAAATAAACGATCTGCTCTGATTCGGAAGCTGGTATCTTGTTCTGGACTCAAGTGGAAGGGCTCGTAGGACATAGGACCAATAAGGACACTAAACTGCCCACACCGGTTAAACGTCATTGGTTGGCCTAGTGTGAAGATTCGTATAAGTCGTATTCGGATTGGTAGATAAGTCGTGCGATAGAAAAACCAGACATACAAAGTCATAACAATTGGCGACGGGGATTTTAGCAAAAACAAAATAATTGGGAGACGCAAGGTCATAACAATTGGCGACGGGGATTTTGGCAACAAAGAAATAATAATAATACAAGTGGTGACTCAGATTTTGGAAATAAATTAGCTGTATAATTGCCGGTGGTTTTTGGAGCTAATATTATTGGCAAAAAAAAATGTCGATTTCTTTCGAACAGTTGTGGTTAATATTACAGCACCAGCAGAAGATGTTTGCCTTGCAACAACAGCTATTTGTAACAGTTTTGGGCAGACTTTGCATTCAAGCAGAAAATAAGAAATCTATATATCATGCAGATAATGGTGCAGTAATGGACATTTCAGAAGCATATCCTGTGCAGGATTCAAATCCTTCTATACCAGAAGGAAAACGTAATATTGGTAACGTGTCCAGCTCAGAGCAAGAAAATATTGTGCTAAATGCACATGAAGTTGTAACAATACCAGATGATCAGGAGCCAGATCCTGTAGATGATGCCCAGAGTCCAGAATCAAATGAAACACTACTGGTACTGTCTAGCTGCGAAAATAAACGTCAGGTCGAATAAAATTGTGGTCCACGTGCTATTAGTCGAGAAAGCTATGGTGACTCGTATTCAGAAAATAACTGGAGCAACACGATGAACCAAATTGTACCAGATGTTACTCAAAATCATCGGAAGACAGAATTTTATATTGAGTCAACTTATCCCATTTCTAATGACAGTGTGCCAGATATTGATTCTCAGAATAATGCATATGATTTTGATGAAACTTCTTATAACAATGAGGGAAATATGTCAGCTGAGTCGAATGATGGCCAAAAATCTAATTTAATCCTGTTAGACGTTGACTTTCTTAATGACTTGTTATCTGCTAACGAGATTCATAATGAATTTGAAAATAATGAACTCAGGTCAAAGGTCGTTCATCATCATCTAGTCATTTTTAGTGGCTTCTCCAGTCAATACGAGAAACATGGTTTAAATAAAGTCCTACTAGTTGTATTTTGGAGCCATAAGGACCCAACATTATTTCAAGGAGGAGGAGAATGTTGAGGAATTTAAAGTCACATATGATTCTTTTTTTTAATCAGAATCTAAAGTTGGAATTTTCAAAAAAAGAGGAGGTGTGATGATGTCACAGGTATTCAGTGTTTGACAACGCTTCTACCAGTAACACCTTCTAAGATATTTCGTTCCCACCAAGAGAAATCAAAAGACAGAGTCGAGGAGATCGGAAGAGTATATTTGGCGATGACCAATATACCGGGATTCTCTGATCTAATCTGGCTAGCGATTGTGGTTGATGTTGAGCACGGCGTTACTACACGTGATCTGGTGCGGATGCCTGACCGAGCGCCTTCAGCTAGATGAGTCCACTAAAACATATGGTCAGCATCCAATGTCGAAAACTTACAGAGCTATTTATTTTAGGGATTTATTTACCGCTACAGATCACTCCCCCCCTAGTGGGGCAGTGACGACCCTAAGACGTGGCCAGCCAGAAGTTTAAACCCAACGAGTTTGTCGTTGGTAAACACTCTTCTGATAGCTTACTAAATTTAGCAGCGTCTGGTCGTCTTTCCTTACTATATGGGACGGAGGTACAACATAGTAAAAAAAAGAAAATGTACAATGAAAATTTCGGATCCTCATAAACGTCATCGTTCTTTTCCAGCCGTCCTGGAAAAGAAAAAAGAAAATGTAAGTGCATGTCGAAAATACACTCGTATATGCGTAAAAACACAAGGTCGGCGGAAAAAAAATGGAAAATAAACTCATGAGCACGTAATAGCGTTAAAAAATTGTTTTTTTTTGTTTTGTTTTTTTTAATAGAAATAAAAATATATAAGCATATTAAAATTGTTTTTTTTTCAAAAAAAAAATAATATAAAATGTCGAGAAGTGCCTTACGTGCAATAGTCGTTTAAATGTTCTGGAAATCTCACCCTTCTTCCAGAACGCGTCGTTTTAAGTTTATTTTCGGATACTGTCGAAGTATCTTCGTGTGCGTTGGTTGTCGGATGAGGTATTATTAGTGTCTGAGTCGTGTCGTTCGATTGTACCGAAGGAAAATCGACGTGGATAGGATTTCCTTCTAAATACGCTGCTTTTAAGCGATCGATGCTGATGCTATCGTTGGTTCCGTTCTTATCGACTATATAGTACTTAGATTCACGTTGAAGAACTTTGAAGGGTCCTTCGTATGCTGATTCGAATGGTCGTCGATGCGAGTCTCGACGAATGAAAACGTGTGTACTATATGGTAAGTCAGGTTGAACGAAAACATCAGTTGATTGAGGTCGAGTGGAAGCAGGTTTAACTGAACGCATTGCGTTTGTAAGCCTGTTCGTGTAGGAGGTTAGATCCATGTTCATCGAAGAGCACGAAGGATCCACGAATTCTCCTGGAAGTCGAAGTGTCGTTCCATAAACGAGTTGAGCCGCAGTGTATCCAATGTCAGCTTTCACTGCATTGCGGATACCTAGTAAGACGAGTGGAAGAGCGTCGGTCCATTGTGAAACGTTTGCAGCTGATAGCGAAGCTTTCAGTTGTCGGTGAAAACGTTCTACCAACCCGTTTGCTTGTGGATGGTAGGCGGTCGTTCGGAAGCGAGTGATTCCTAAAAGTGTGGTCAGACGACGGAAAAGATCAGATTCAAACTGACGTCCGCGGTCTGTAGTGATGGTTGAAGGGCAACCGAAGTTTGCTACCCATCGTTCGACGAATGTGCGGGCCACTGTTTCAGCAGTGCTGTCCTTGATAGGTACTGCTTCTGGCCATCGAGTGAAACGGTCTACGCAGGTTAAGAGATAAGAGTATCCATTTGAATCTGGTAAAGGTCCTACCAAATCCAGATGAACATGGTCGAAACGAGCATCGGGAGTTTTAAACGAGCCTAAGGGACATTTATTGTGTCTGATAACCTTAGATTTTTGGCAGCTTACACAGGAGCGTGCCCACTCCCTCACGTCTTTATTCATGCCAGGCCAGCAAAATCGTTCTGCTATAAGCTTGATGGTTGCACGAACACCTGGATGAGAAAGTTTGTGCAATGTGTTGAAGACATTGCGTCGATAATGTTTCGGCACGATTGGGCGATCCCTACCTGTAGATGTGTCACAAAGTAAGGTTTCCTTACCTGTTCCCATCTGTTTGATGCGTAGTTTAAGTGTTGTGGACGATAACTCGTGCTGAAGATCACTGTCTTCTTTTTGAAGCTCGGCGAGTTTAAGAAGGTCGATTCCTTGGAAACTGTTCAAGGAAGTTATACGAGATAAAGCGTCTGCAACTACATTGTTTGCTCCAGAGATGTGTTGAATATCTGAAGTAAACTGCGAAATGTAGTCCAGTTGTCGAGACTCACGGGGAGAGTACTTGTCAGAAGGAGAGCTTAACGAGAAAGTGAGCGGTTTATGGTCCGTGAAAAGAGTGAATTCACGGCCTTCGATATAGTGTTGGAAATGCCGTACAGCACAATACATAGCTAGGAGTTCCCTACCGAATGTGCTGTACCTCGATTCGGTGTCTAGCAACCTTCTAGAGAAAAATGCCAAGGGTTGCCAGGAGTTGTTAACCCATTGTTGTAAGACTCCTCCGATTGCTGAGTCGGATGCGTCTACTGCGATGCTAATGGGTGCTCGGGTGTCCTGATGTGCGAGCATTGTTGCTTTAGCAATCAGTTCCTTGACTGTGGAGAATGCTTTTCGTGCGGTGTCGTCCAAATTAATGGATTTCGCATTTCCACGAAGTTGGTCGGTCAGAGGTTTCATAAGTGATGCGCATCTGGGTATGAAACGTCTATAGAAACTTACCAGGCCGTTGAACGTGCGTAATTGCTTGACGGTGGTCGGTTCTGGGTAATCCAGAATGGCCGCCACTTTGGTTCTAAGGGGTCGGATACCTTGAGCATCGATAGTGTGTCCCAGAAAGTCTAACGAGTCGGTTCCAAATTGGCATTTCTGAACGTTTACAGTTATGCCATGTTTTTGTAATCGTTCGAAAACAAGGTCCAGATGCTTGAGATGTGTTTCTCTGTCCGGACTTGCGATTAGACAGTCGTCAACATACGCGTGTACGAAGTTGAGACCTCGAAAAACGTCGTCTATGAATCTTTGGAATGTTTGAGCAGCATTCCTTAGACCGAAAGGCATTCGCAAAAATTCATAGAGTCCGAAGGGAGTTATGATAGCCGTTTTCGGTATGTCGTCAGTAGCCATAGGGATTTGGTTATACGCTTTAACCAAGTCGATTTTCGAAAAGACAGTTGTACCTTTCAAGGTAGCTGTCAAATCGTGAATGTGAGGCAACGGGTAACGATCGGGAATGGTTTTCGCGTTCAATCGCCGATAGTCACCAGTTGGACGCCAATCGTTGCTGTCCTTTTTAGGGACCATGTGCAACGGAGATGCATATGGGCTACTTGACGGTCGTATGATTCCTAAGTCCATCATGTGATCGAATTCGTTTTTCGCTAACCTTAGCTTTTCAGGAGCTAGTCGTCGTGCTTTAGAGAAAACAGGTGGTCCTGTAGTCGTGATGTGATGTGTAACATTGCTGGTTACACACGGTAGTTTCGTTGAGTTTGTTGTATCCCAGGGTACTTATCGAGTAGTGGTTGATAGAGTGGGTCTATCATATGTTTAACTGTGACTGGGGATACTCTACAACCAGTAAAAGAAGTTACGCAAACGGACAAATTAGTGTTTCCGTCTACTAGCCTCCGTTTGCGAGTGTCGATGATCAGATTGTGGTGTTGTAGAAGGTCCATACCAATGATTGGCATAGAAACATCTGCAACGACGAAAATCCAGTGGATGGGTTTGCGTAAACCCACGTTAAGGTAAACGTACCTTTTGCCATACGTAGCGATCGGTTTTCCGTTTGCCGCCTGTAAGTTTAGGGTCGATTCGTGAAGTCGGTCGTTAGGATTTGCTGGGAGAACGCTAACTTCTGCGCCAGTGTCGACGAGGTAGCGAACTCTCGTTGTCACATCTGTGACGAATAACAGACGGCTTTGTTCGCCGGCTACGGTTGCCGTTAACGCGTGCCGGCTTGGAAGTTTCCCGAATCAGTCGGTTTCGTGTTGGGAAAATTGCAGGGTTTTCTGCAATTTCTGGAAAACTTTCCATACTGGTTATGATACCAGCACCAGTCGGGGTTATCTGTCTCTCGTGGTCTAGAGACAGATCGCTTACGAGAAATGCTTCTACGTGGTGTGCGCGATCTCTTACGGTCGGTACGAAGACTAAGATAACGCGTGAGTGTGTGACATAAGTCGGTTATGTCATTCTGAGTCGTGTGAGGCTTTTCTTTGACTGAAAATACCTCGGTAGTAGAAGGTTTCGTAATTTCTAGAATGCGGTCGGCAGATACAGCTAGTTCGTCTAAGGCGTTGTTCTGGAACGAGACCAGAACTGCTTGCACCTGTTGGGGAAGTTTTGACAAGAAGAGTTGTTTGAATAGACCTTCGTCGAAAGTTCTTGGGCCTATAACCTCTCTCATCCGTTGCAACATGTCCGTCGCAGAACCGTGTTGCAGGTCGATATTGTTGAAGAGTTGATCTAACCTTTGTCGATCGGTTAGGTCTCCTCGTTTAAGAATCGAGCGTTTTAAGATTTCGTAAGGATCGGAAACATCACTAGTAAACATACTAGGTGTTACGTACCTGTTGAATTCGCGCGGCAGTGCCTTGACTACTGCGAGGAATTGTGCACGTGTGTCGATCACGCCGTGCTCGGAAAAGTCGGCTTCTGCGTAGCAAAACCAGGCTTCGATGTTGTCGGGCCAGAAAGGCATCAGTTGAAACGAAGGTGGGGACAAGGTCTTAAGCTTGAGTACTTTAGGTGTCTGTTCAGTCATGATGAAATATGAAGTACGATAATGAACGAGGGGAAAATATATATATATATCCAAGAAAAACACGAAAAAAAATCACAATGTTTAAAAAAAATAAAAAATAAGGCAATGATATATAAAAATCCCAAAAAGGAACAGACTCACAGTTGCAATAAGGTGTACCAGATCACGACGGTCTCACCAATGATGATGTCACAGGTATTCAGTGTTTGACAACGCTTCTACCAGTAACACCTTCTAAGATATTTCGTTCCCACCAAGAGAAATCAAAAGACAGAGTCGAGGAGATCGGAAGAGTATATTTGGCGATGACCAATATACCGGGATTCTCTGATCTAATCTGGCTAGCGATTGTGGTTGATGTTGAGCACGGCGTTACTACACGTGATCTGGTGCGGATGCCTGACCGAGCGCCTTCAGCTAGATGAGTCCACTAAAACATATGGTCAGCATCCAATGTCGAAAACTTACAGAGCTATTTATTTTAGGGATTTATTTACCGCTACAGGTGTTATATCCGAGTGGAGATTAAATTACAGGTAACTTCCGAGGACTATTCATGGACTAATATTCTATAAATATTCTTATTGTATAACTACTCAACAATTACACTATGTATATTTATATCCCTCTTATGACAAGCTTTATTTTGGCCTATAATTTATTATTGTACGATTTACGGTTCTTAAGTTATGTTCAGTTTATTAACTACTGCCTCCCACATTCACAGCCACTTTCTGGGCTTATTTGTGTACAAATATTATTTCCTATTTTATGGTACGTTGCGGTCTGTGTGATTGATATATAAACCAAGTATGCCTGAAATAAACGATCTGCTCTGATTCGGAAGCTGGTATCTTGTTCTGGACTCAAGTGGAAGGGCTCGTAGGACATAGGACCAATAAGGACACTAAACTGCCCACACCGGTTAAACGTCATTGGTTGGCCTAGTGTGAAGATTCGTATAAGTCGTATTCGGATTGGTAGATAAGTCGTGCGATAGAAAAACCAGACATACAAAGTCATAACAATTGGCGACGGGGATTTTAGCAAAAACAAAATAATTGGGAGACGCAAGGTCATAACACTAACTATATTTTGTTACCTTGGTTTTATTAACAGACAGACACTTAGGGTTTTTACTATTAATTTTCTTGGTATATTATTATTAAACTAGTGTATCGACATACCGTTTATAAGCTTCTTTTGTTGGGAACCATCACATGATATATCATACAAGATCAACTTTCAGAAATCCATGCTGAGAATTGTAGTAGCCTACTTTTATCAGGAGAGCTCGACTGGTTTAATGGAAACAATTATTATTTTAACCAATTTTACCCGGCATTGTTTTACCGTACTTGTTTGTTTAACTGTATCAAAACACAAACATTCTTTTTTTTATTGTGACCTTGAACGAATTCGGTTGCGCTAAGTATACACACTTGTACTCCTTTGGCACGATCTCGGTATTCTTTCGATATCACAAGAATGCCAACAAATATATCTCGCTACAACCTCCGATGGCCTCCTGGTATCTGGTACTCAAACGTCTTGTGGTGGTGATCATTGTCAACAATGACTCGACGCCACACTACAGAACAACTGATAAATTTTTCAGCGAGTATGTAGTTGGAGACTTTGTCACTAACAATTTTGTCTATAGTTCTGAAGATAACTGGAGTAATATTTATAGGCCCATAATTATTCATGTCAGTCGTTGTAAGATCCGTCTTGAATGTTTTGTGTGTATGAAAATCCCTCCATGTATATACTTGCACTTTGTTCCTATTGATCCCCTTAGTTGTACACTGTTAGTTTTTTTATTACATTCGAATTGTTAATATTTTTATTTTATTATAGTTTTTACTTTTATTACGACTTCATTGAGTTTTTGTGTTTCTTCCCGAACCACATCTATGTCGTTTTACTCGGAACTTGTTCTTGGCGGCAGCCATATTGATTTGCTCCTCCTTTTGTGTGTGTTCTACCCAGTCAGGATAGAATGGAGTTCATTCTTTGTGACTGATTCGATTGGTTGAACAATTATTGGTTGAATAGCCGGGTGGTAATATTTGTTTAAAACTGCTATTTACCCGATTACTTGTTTTAATTTTGACGAACAAGGGCGCGTGTCTAATCTACTAGAGAGGCTATTCTTCAAACCAAACCGTAGTTTGGATTCTACAGTTATATCTCCATAACTGTAACGTGGTATGATATACGCGGTTTTCCAATAGTAGGGTTGTACCTGCCTCCATAGAGAGAGTAAACAGCTTTAAATTAAGTGGAATATCTGGATGCTAATATTTATAGAGAATGGATAAAATCCAGTCTACTCCATGACCTCTCGAATACTTGGGGGTATTTACGGCATTACTAATTTTCAAGCATGAGATAGATTTTACTGAGATACTAGCTACGCACATGACTCTTGAAAACGTGCCATTAAGGAATTTTTTACCGTTCGCAAAAATACCTCCGACAAAGTCTGCTATAGTTTTAGGATCGTTTATAAAAGTGCTATTATTCAAGATGCATGGTATACTAACATTTTGGGTTGCTTTAACGCGTGTATTTAAAAGGAAAATTAAGTTTTGCAATTCTGAGCTAGTATTAAGCGCAACCAGCCCTTAATTAATGGCTTTTAACTTATGCTTCTCTTTAGTTCGGTTAAAAAATATTGTTATTTGTGCAACTGCTGTGAAATTGTTTGACTTAACGTTTTTGTAGCTGTCTGTGGTGTTTGTATGAACGAATGGTTCCTTTGTACTTGATGAGTGTCTGATTTCGAATTCCAAACACAAAACATTCGTTCGTGCTCAACTAGTACTTCACGGTTAAATTGCGTTGTTTCTGGGATTCGTAGTTTGTACAACAATTCAAATAATCCCAATCATCACAGTCTTAATTTATTACAACATTTAGATGGTAGATATAATTCACAAGGTTCATTGGACACGTACATTTTAAAAGGTGCACAGGAATCTAGACAAGATTTAACAGTCAGATAGAATGTGTAGATGGCGTCCACGAGTCTATAAAATAAGAAAACGTTGTCACAGTCCGAGAATGTAACCATTGAGCGCATTAGGGTCCCAGTATGCATGCTTATAGTCTCTATATTGACGGGTATTTTGTATGTGTCGATTATAAGAGAGATAATTTGGGAGAACATAAACTAATATTTCATGGCCATTGCTTTCAAATTCATTGTATACTTCTACAGGCTGTGAGACGACATCTCTACTAAACACTAGATCAGGTAAATTACCGCCTTTTGTTGCGGTGCGAACCCACAGTGACAATGTAGTGGTGAATTATTCCTCAAAATAAATAGCTGTGTCAGTTTTCGACATCGGATGCTGACCATATTAGTTTTAATGGACTCGCCTAGCTGGAGGCACTCGGTCATGCATCCGCACTAGATCACGAGTGGGAACGCCGTGCTCAACAACCCCTGCAATCGCTAGCCAGATTAGATCAGACGATCCGCGATATATTGATAGCCTATCAAATATATCTTCGAACCTCCTCTCTTCTGTCTTTTGATTTTACTTGGTGGGTACGCTTCATATTAGGTGTTACTGGTTAAGGCGTTGTCAAACTCCGAATACATGTGGCATCTTCAACCAACAGGGCATGTTAATGGTTGCCAAGAATTCATCATTATATGACTGACACCTACCGGTATTCCAGTTTATTCCAGAGCAATTGAAATCCGTAAGTCAACAAAACGAGCATAAAACTAGTTAACTGTTTAAAAATAGACAAGGAGGGTTCACATCAACTCGGCGTATGTGGTGTGTTTTCCCATTCTATCCCAATGATGTTGTGCCAGGCCCCATGAATGTAAGACTATTGGTAGTAGGTAAGAAATTCTGAAGTTTACTTGACCATCCTTTGGGATAGCAGTGAACGTCTGTTATGGTCGGTTACGGTTGAGGAGCATAGATATGTCCAGTAAGTCGCTGCTCTAATTCAAGTGAAAACAAAGAAGGACATATGACGGCAGATTTTTAACTGACACTACTTCAACGAAAAAGAAAACGAATATCAGGGTATGGAGTGATTTAGGCATGTAGAGGCCCAATGATATCTGAGTAGGACGCAAATGTGTTCGTGCGTGCTAAGAGTTCAGTGCAAACGAGGGATTCATCAATGTATGTAACTGAAACGCCATGAGTATTTTGGAGGGGACACTGTTCCACATTAATGAATACTTGACGAGCAGGAAGTTTCCCACAGTTGTTGTCTCGTATTTTTCAGTTTCCACTGTAGATACTTTATCTCAAAGTCGTTTATGTGTAGGCCTTGGGTAGGAGCTATATTACAAGTGTAGTGAGATGGGAGTATATTAAGTGAACCTAAGCCTTTTTAGACGGATTCAATTCTTAGGAAATGGAACTGAGAGTGATAGTCAATGACTGAACTAATTTTATGTACGTGATGAGTAAAATCGCATTGTATTACTTTCATCTTCATAATATCAGATTGGCATAAGTTGAAAAATAAGAGCGGACAGTATTCAACGATAGGTCTCACACATATATTGTAAAGAATGATTTCTAACTCATTTTGGAAGAAGTCACAAAGAATGGAGCCAAGCTATTTCCGCATTTTAGATACTTTGGTGGGGATATGTTCCGAGAAAATAAGTCTGTGTAATGTACACCTGTCACTTACTAATATGAGTTTGGGTAGTGTTCTTGCTAAGTGTTATTTTAATTCTAACGGATTTACCTTCAATACATAGCCAACCACATTTCTCTGTGTTGAGTTCTAAGCTCCAGCGCTCACACCAGTCGTCCACCTTGTTGAGTTCACGATGAATTATTTGCATAGTACTACGTAAATTGCAAATGTTAGTTTTATAGACGACTTGTCAGTCATCAGTCTAAAGGAAGGTCTTATCAATGTTGAAGCATCTGTATATATTGTTAATGTAGATCGTAAAATGCAGTGGATCCAATACACTACTCCGCACAAAATCACTGGTTATTGGTCCAGGTGTAGTTGTTGTACAGTTAATACTGGATATTTGGTATCTGTTCGTAAAAAGACCTAATCCATGGCAGTGGGTGGTTATCAACTTCAACTTACTGAAGTCTGTTTATATTTCTGCCAGGGCAGGTACACGCCATTTTTACAGACATGGTCAATAAGTTACAACATTAGTTTACTTACAGTATGCTTTCCAAGTAGGATCTTTAAATTTACGGAATCAATAAAAATAAAAGAGAAAAAAATAGCCACACAGGAGTACACTCCAATATTGGACTGGTCAGTAAACGCTAGCTCATCGACCGAAGAGGCATTGTCCGCATTTAAAGTTACACTAAGCTTAGTTACGTTTCGTTTATACTATGCTTAGTAACACGTAGACTTAATGACTGCCCACCATAGATAACTAAAAAGGTGAAAAAATTCCCAGATGTAGAAAGAGCAATGTAATATGTTTGTCTCTTTAAGCTCTGGACTGTTGAGGTCTACTTATTGCGAGATCAGAGACGGATGCAGAGTGTTGATAAGCAAGGTTAGACTCCTTTATCAAAAACAAATAGTAAGAGATTGTGAAAATTGTCCTTAATGGTTGTTCTTGTTCGTGAAGAGGCAAATTCGGAAAAGTAATAGGATCCCATCACTTTTACTACAAGAACATAAGTTACTAATCGCAAGGATGTCGCAAAAGCCAAAGCTTCATCAGAATATTCTGGCTTTTCGATGGATCACGTGATTATGAGGAAGAGACCTATTTTACGAACACTTAAGCATCTAAAACCAGGCAAGTCCAGTGGTCACAACGATTTATTTGGCGATCATGGACCTGCAAGTCTAACCAGTTTAGTTGGTACGCTAATAGAAAAGATTATTCGGATGGTTATCCCGAACTATGTAACCGAGAATAATCTTTTGGTTGAGAAATAACATGGTTTTAGTAAAGGTCATTCATGTTTGACGAATTTGCTTGTTACATAAAAACATTTGGCCGCGGTGTAGGACATAAGTATTCTGGTAGGTGCTACTTCGATTGAGCTGAGTAATGTCTTTGGTAAAGTATCTCACCCTGGTCTTAATTAAAAACTGGAGATTTTCGGGATCCATTATGAAATCATATACCATATAAGTGATTTCCTTGGTGATAGACAAATGGTATGGATAAATAGGGTTCGATCAACTCGTCAACCTATGGAATTCGGCGTTCCTCAAAGTAAAACTATCAACCGTCTTCGTTTTTTATTTTGTGTAAATGATCTATAAACTGTAGGAAAGTCATTTGTTCTACTGTTTGCAGATGACAGAAATTTTTAGGCCTCTACACAGTATATCAGATAGAATAATATTACAGAATGACTTAAATTCAATGGCTGGATGGGTGATTAGATGGCCTTTAGGAATAAAATCTAACAAGAGTGTAGCGGTGCATGTCAACGATACATAATACTACACAATATTTGGAGTTGTGTTACCTAAAGTAATAGATTATAAAAGTCTAGGAGTTATAATAATCAGCGGACTGAAAACTACGAGTAACTGTAAGGCTGCTACTTCCAAAGGCTTTGTAGTCTTATGCGTTACGTGATAGCCGATGGTATCTAGAAACCTAACTCAAATTACATGATATAAAAACCCACAAAGACCTACTGAAGTGGTCAGAATTAGTGCAGTCGAGTGGTCAGACTAGAGCCGTTTGAGCAATTACAAAGACCCAGAGCTGTGTCGGAACAATAATAAGAGAGCAAAGAAATCAATTGGTCTATACCTGTTCATCAAGAAAGCATTGGAGAGTAGATATGATCCTCAACAAGGTTGTAAACTCTTGCGCCAAATTTGAGTTGTCATGTTTTCTCTCACTAGTTACTCCCAATAATCATTGTAAGTTCGTTTTGTAGAGTTACTGAGTCGTTTCCCTTTGTTATCGCTTCTTCCACTCTCAGATCCCCTCATCCCGATCTCCCTATTTTGGGGGAAATTCTGTCCGTCTGGGTAAATTTAGGATAAACCTCTATAGAAAACTTTGGGATAATGGCACAAAACCTCGAAATCTCTCTGAATGTGGGAAAAATTCCTGAAATGTCTGAGAGAAGCTCACAACCTTTCTCGGAATCATATAACATTTTGGGTTTTTTCCAAAGTTTGGGGAAAACTACTATATTTCTTATGACATTGGGTAAAAGTCCAAAGTTCCCCAAGATAGCAAGACTGGAATACTCTTCTTCCCTCACTCTCTAGACGCATAGAGTACCTCTAGGCCAAACAGAAATCTTTCAAAAACTGGAGACTAGATCAGACTTGCTCCTAGACAGACGTGCACCACACTGCGATCACCCCACTTAATGTTTCCCGTCAGCCGTACACACTACTCGTTACTTAGACAAACACAGATGTCATACTTCAGTTGACGCCATATTGTCTACTTTATCTCTACTGGGTATCTAGTACGATTGAACCCCCTCGGTCGTAGGTTCTCCCTAGAAATCTGAGAATTTCCTAACACTCGTGACTGGTTTCCGGAGAAAGTTTCTGGATATCTACTAAGAAGTAGCGTCTAATGAAGTCTATCGTGCCTTAATTTACGCCGAATAGCCTGAATTTAGGCTAAGTAATGTACTTGCAGTCTAAATTAATGATAATATACTCCCCTAAATATTCTAGGTGTTTCCATTATATTCTCCGGCAAACCAACTTCTTGACTTTGTCCAACTAGGTAAGGTTAGTTCATGTTTAATAATTCACACCCTGAGGAATTTTCAACACAAGTCGCGAAAGAAGGATAGTCTCAGCTAGGTGCCTCCGTTATGACAATGAGATATGAATGTCTGATTTCATTTCAAAACTTGGTGTCCAATTCTAGCCGCATGGATTACACCAAAACACATTTGAAATACATTCCCAGGGTGTCGTGAGTCATCGGCTCCACTTTTAGTCTGTTTTCCAGATTTACCCACACTGCTCATCACGTTCCTGTAACATAATTTGGCTTCCAACTAAACATAAATTATATATGTACACTCGATTAGACGATTCATTTCTAGGGCAATTCCATTCGTTTGATCAGATTGTACATTACATTTATTTATTTATTTGAACATATAAATATTGGTACAAAGGGGCATCGAATACGAGTCACAAGTCAATGGTTTTTGTGTGGGCTATGATACTGCCCGGGTGCCCAAACTGAACGGGTTGTTTTTCTTATGGAGTCAGACCTCAAGCCTTTGACCTAAAGGTCTAGTCCGCAAGACTAGAGCAACGTCAGGAGATGCAGTCCCATGGTAGCCGGTGACTCGTAATTGGTTCATACGCCATTTGCTCCTTCAGGATCCTGGAGTCCATGTACACCATTGGTTTGGAGTCGGGGTTTTCCAACTCCCCTAGGTGGATCCTCTATATCCACCAACCAGGTTAGAGCGCCGGGCATTCGCTTTTCGTTCTCTCGATTTTGTAAACAACACCGTCGCTCGAAGGCAGAGTAGGGTTTACCTGACAGTGGTTGTATGCATGTGGCCATGTGAGAGCATTTCGAGTGGGAGAAGCTACTCTCCCCACTCTCGGTCGTACCAGAGCATTTTGGGGCATGTCTAACTAAACGGGGGAGTAAGAACTCAAAAAGATAGAGACACGTCGTTGCCTTTTCATTGTCGCTGCCGTCGCTCCCACTGATTATAGCTTAGGTGAAGTTAACGATGAGATTTATGAGCTTTCCGATGCTCTGATTTAGTACTAATGGCAGGTAATTTTAGTGCTCAAGTAGGTAAACTAAACCAAACGGAAAGGCACTTAGGCAGATCTTATAGTGTTGCGGCTCAGCGAATAGATAATGGTGACCACCTGTTGCAACTATGCCCAGATAACCATCTATTTCTGGGCAAAACGTAAAGAGAAGCGTTGTCTGACGTGATGACGTCCACATTCAACTCAGTGATGGACATAAGTAGACCACATTGCTATCAGCCATTGTTGAAGTGGCTCGATAAAAGTTTATCACTCATTCTGGATGGTGTGAGTCTTCCGATTCTCAGTGAGGCTGAAAGTGATATAGGGAAAATACAGCGATGGAGAGCAGCAGGGCCTGACGGACTCACACCTCAGATTTTTAAGGATGGTGTTCCAGGTTTAGCACTTAAATGAACTGAGATTTCAGCTAAAATCTGGGAACTGGATGTAATACACTTTGACCAGTCTCGGTCGTTAGTCGTCCCAGTTTATAAGAAACGATAAAATTTCGATAATGATATTAGAAGACGAAGATTATCAGAACTATGTGATATATTAGCGCAATACATTTCGAACAATCTGGTCACACATATACTTGTTAAGAGCATTTATATATAAAAATAAAAGGTCAACTAGACAGGAAACGGGGTAAGAGGAGATCTTATCATTATCCTTATCTCCTCTTACCCCGTTTCCTGTCTAGTTGACCTTTTATTTTTATATATAAATGCTCTTAACAAGTATATGTGTGACCAGATTGTTCGAAATGTATTGCGCTAATATATCACATAGTTCTGATAATCTTCGTCTTCTAATATCATTATCGAAATTTATCAAAGGGACTAATTGTTTTAAACGATAAAATGTTGTGACCATCACAGAGAATTCAGTCTGACTACTATAATATCTAAACTAGTTTCAATAGTAATCCGACGCTTCGCTACGGTTCGCGAATAACAATCCTGATAGAACAAGGCTGGTTCCAAACGTCAACATGGATGTATAGACTAAATATTCACCGCTTGGCAAATTTTCGAACGTAAACATACCTGTCGGCGTCCGACAATAGTTGTATTCCTTGACCTAGTATTTTGGGATCACGGAGTAGGCAGTGTCTGGGTCAAGCATAGAGTACTAGTTAAATATACAAAGCTTCTGTTGAAGTGGTTAAGACATGTGTTATGTATGTCCGACTAAGGCCTATCTCAACGGGTGATGTTGTATGGTGCATGAGCAGGCTGGAAGAGAGCAAGGGTCAGGCAAACCAACACGGGATTAGTCCATAAAGTCACTGAAAATTGGACTGAGTCATTTTGGTAGGAGTAGGCCACCTGGTTGGGGTCCGTGTGACCATCATAACCAGTGGTTAGGCTTTGAATGGCATGACTCAAAATCGTTTGCAATGGCTCAAGTGTATCCATTCTTTGTCTTCCCCGAAATCCTGAGCTTTTTAATAACTCATAAGTTTTTTGTCCTTTTATTTCCTTAACTCGTAACCTCGATCCCTAGTCTTCTAAATCACCACTAATAATGTTACTACTTGTACTATGGGATTTGGCCTGACAATTTCCTCTCTCTGTGCTAATGGGGCATGTCAAATTGAATCAACGTACATGTTCACAGGTTCTATGCTGTAACCGACTAATAAGAGGTTGATGCAATACTCATTCCATAGATTTTACAACTATGCAATATGGAGGTATTAGTCCATAAATAGGTGTAAACACTTATTATTTTTCATTCAGGCAGTTGATTGAAAGTTGGAAATCTGGACAACAATTTTGAGAAAACTAGACTGGTTGCAAACCCGTATGTGGATCCTCAGACCAGAATTTTGTCCTCTATTGGGTTGTGAGTTAGACATATCTAATGAATCCCAACAATATGCATATTTCTTGACCTCAAGGTAGTATTCAACTCAGTACATCGATAAATTTTATGGTTGTCTGTCATTGAAAGGAGCACCAAAGAAATGTATTAACTTTGCACAGGCTCTCTACTCTAACACTGCTGGTCAATTTATGGCGAAACGTTATCGGGTTTGATAACTTCAAGCAGTTTATGTCAGGGTTCGGTTTTTTCATCATTTTTAACTTTATTGTATACATTTGTTTACAGATAAGGCTCCAATTACCTGACTTTTTAAATGTTGATCTACTAGAAGACCCACTAATTGACGCTTCTTACTTTACTTACGTCTGTTACCTCTTGTGGAGCATAGGCCGCACTATTTAACACAGTACACTCAAATGACATTGTTCTGTCCAGGGAGGACTCTAACGGCCTGCAGTCCTCTGATCACCTTGATCAACATTTATTTCTTTGAACATATTAATATTGGTACAAAGAGGCACCAAATATATATGCGCCATACAATAACAATGAGAATGAGAGATAGAGAATGTAAGTTGCGTATAAGAAAAAAGTAGAACAATAACGAACATAAATTAGTTTATGATAGTGAAATAATAATAATGGGAAAAGCAGTTCAGTTAGCAGAAGTACAACCAGAAAAATTCTTCTAGTTAAAGAGGTTACGTCCATTTTTTATGAAGCAAAAGAAAATTATAGCAGGATCGCCACTGGCCTCTACTTTGAGTTATATCGGTTAACGTCCTAAGCCACCATCTCTAGAACCCCAACCAGGGAGTCGTGATGGACCAAGAAAAGCTGTACAGCTTTCTTTCATACCGCGACACCATATCATACACTGACCACCTCTCCCCTTTTTCCAACCAGTCCCAGCGTCGACAAATAATGCACGGGACGACAGTATCACAGCCTACACACAAACAAGTGACTTGTGACTGGTATTCGGTGCTCCTTTGTACTAATATTTGTGTTCAAATAAATAAATAAAAACAGGGTCCTGCTAGTCTTGTCAAAGTACTTTGCACTTGGAAGGTGCAGAACACATACCATACCTACAGACACTAATTGTCAACTGATAAAGTGCAGGTTGCATAGCTGGGGTATAATTGCGCAGTAAGATAATATCACCTGCATACTCAAGGTCGAGAATTTCTCCAGGCAACAGACCTACGCCACCATTCCCTACATCCATCAGAGCCATTTCCAGAACATCATTGTAAGCAAAGTTGGAGAGGAATGGTGAGATTGGGCAACCCTATCTAAACCCAAAGCTTGGATGGAACAATGGAGAGAGGTGGTTGTATGCCCTCACTTCGGCTGATGTGTTTGTATATCGGGTTTATAAAATGTTAATAAACTTCTCAGGCACACCGTTCTTCAATAGACAATCCCAGAGGACAGTCCTGTATAACGAAGCGAAAGCAGCGGTAGCTGATGGCGATGTGATCAACCGGAGTCCGTGGTTGAGATGCAGAGGGAGGACGCGAGGCGGCACGTCGGCGATGACTGTGCCGGTAGTTAGTGCTAGCCAGAAGCAGGTTGTGGTCTGCGCACGTTTGCAGTAAACGGTCCCTCTTATCTAACCTGCAACCAACAAGTCCTCATCGGTCACTTGGACGACTCTCTTCTATAGAAGCATGTTTGTGTCGGGATGCCTTTCTTTATTGTCACGTTCAATCATCCACAGCGTGCTACTAAGATCTGTCATCATAATCTATTCTGTGATGGTTCCTATGTGATATTGCTTCTACTGGACCGACCCTATGTTATGGAGATATCACAGTATATGAAAGATTTTCAGTATGTCCAGTAGAGTGTATGACGATTGGGTCAGAAATTGCCTTTCGAATTCGAAGAACAGTCGTGCCACTTAAGCCTTGTGTAAGTATTCTAAATCATGCCGGATAATTTGATTTCTGTAGTTATTTTTGTTTAAAAGACTGTGGATGTTGAAATCTTTCACCAATATGATATAAGAAACGTGCTTTTTGAGAATCCGTTGGGTGAGTTTTATCAATAAGTGGTTTAGTTTTCGAGTGTCCTGCAATTTTATATAAAACGACTATCAGAAAAGAACCTTTATCGCTCTTATGAATTCATTACAGTACATCTCTAATGCTTAACCTACGTATCCATACTTGATGTTTTTATTAGTTTACCTGTGCTTATGTTTACGAATTCTAACACCTTCTTGTAAATATTTTAATTAATTACTTCAACAGGTGCTTGATTGTGGACGATATTCTAAATTTGATAAATAATTTTACTACTCGGGTTCCCAAAGCGAAGTAGTTAAAGCCAGACTCGAATCTGGATTTTTGTTGTTAAACGTCACTAAGCCGCCTGTTCTGGTAAACTGTCAAACTCAAACAAACTTGGAAAGTCACAGTCACTGTTCTTAGAAAACTGCACGTTTCTTGTATTACTTACTCGCTGGTTCATTCGTAGCTGCCAGTGTATGGTTTCAGATGGTTTTGTAAATTTCTATAGCATAAGCAACACTCCAAATCAAGATATAAACTAACTTTCACAGAAGTGAAGCGTCAAGAGTAATAAAGACATTAAATATGGAGTTATATTCATAATAATCTCAGCGACTGAAGTCTCAATAGTTCTATCGTTAACTACCATTCAGTCAACAACTCATTAAGTGTCTTCAAGCCATCATGAAACGAATTATGTAATCATATCCATGAGTTCAAATATAAGATCTAATTCCCAGTAAAATAAGTTTTATAATTATAATTTATTTGAGTTCAAGACATGATATTTTTTACATCTGACTAACTCAAACTCTTGTTAAATTCATTTCATTTATCCGTAAAGTGCTAAATGGATTTAAGATCATGTTACCATTCAAAGTTGATAGATTTTCTGCTAGTCATCGGCTTTTAAGTATTCATTTACTGACCCTAAATACATACAAAACAAAGCAAAACGAAAGCGGTTATGGAAACGTGTAATCAGTACGTGTGAAATGGTAATCATTGTAAGAAGATAGAAATTCTGTTTCATGGTTTATTAAGGGTATTTACATTACAAATGTCGCTTTACATTGCGGTTTACCTTGAAGTCGGAAACAACATAACAGCAATAAAAGAACTTGCAACCATATTAGGTGATCCCAAGTTTTACGAACAAAAAAGTAGTAAGAATGAATTGTCTCAATTTAGTCAACCGAAACTAAGCGGTTACATTTCTAAACAAGGCTGTTAAAACACTTGGATTGTGTTATACAAAAGTCAGTTTTATATTTTTACAATCTAACTTTTTCGAATATTGAGTTTTCAGTTTAACAGTTCTTCATCTTTTAGTTTCAGAATGAACAATGTTAACAGTGAGGACCCCACCCGTCAGGTTTATTCAGAATTAGGAAACTTTATCCCGACTGGATATCAGGAAAATTATGATTGTGAATTATCACAAAGCACCGTTGCTGCTGGCAGTTGTGGTGTTGGGAATCATTTGCCTATTTTTCAAAATATGTTGAGTCAAGTCGATGAAAAACCGAAAATACTATTGATGGGTTTAAGAAGGTTTTATTCCCTTATGTTAATATATTGACCTATTATTTATAGAAGTGGTAAATCATCAATTCAACGGGTTGTTTTTCACAAAATGGCACCAAACGAAACATTGTTTTTGGAAAGTACCCACAAAATTGAAAAGAATGGTAGCATTTTTTATGATTTGTTTCAAGTTATAACTTTTCAGACGTATCTGAATGCTCTTTTATCAAATTTCAAATATGGGATTTTCCTGGTCACATTGATTTTTGTGATGAAACCTTTCAATCTGAGGCTATATTTTTAGCTTCTTGTGCTATAATTTTCATTATCGATGCTCAGGTAAATTATTAACTAAATGTGTATTGTATTTTGTTTGGCTTTTAATATTAGTCTGTGAATTTGAAGCTACTACTAACAGCGCGAGTCCGTTATTATACACTAGTGGACTTTGGTTTTGTTAAAATGTCTCCTTTTGTAGCGGGTAATTCAAATAAATAAGCTAAGCCAATTAAAGCAATGTTTATATAGGCTTGTAATTCCACATCATCGAATGGATAACGTCGGTTTTCTTCACTAAGCATACTCAATGAACTGTATTTTTAGAGATCCCTGACATCTGTTACAAAGGTTCAATAGACAACTTTTAAAACACGTTCTTAAACTTTGATTTATAGTGTGAGCACATGTTCGTTTGTGACAGGCATTATAGAGCTTAACACGAAATTACAATTATGAGTAAGAATTGAATAGAGACAATAAATAAGGATCAGAATGTTCATCTTTCTGTGATATTGTCGGATTTACATTCTAATGTAAAAACAAAGGTGATGGTCGTGGGTAATATAACATTAGTATCTAGGATAGGTTTGAAATTTTCAGAAGTCTCTGGTAAATTAAAAGATTCTGGAAGCGTTTGTAGATACGAAACAAGAACCAAAATAGTGTGATCTCTTGTACCATAACGTTTATGGGGCTATAGGTCAACCACATTCGGGATAACTATTGGCCATCAACGAAAAAAATCGATAATGAGTTTTATGTATTCTGTATTTTTGATAGAATTCAATTTCTGTGTCATTAAGAATGCATTACAACAAATGCTTGAATTAAATCAACAACATGCAAAGCGAGAACTAGCTGCTTTGTTGACACAACAGCCGTCTTCAGATCCTATACCAGAAGATGAAGAGCCAGTAAACGAACTTGATTCGAGTGGAAAGGATGAAGATGGACAGGAAGTTAGTGATGGAGAACCAAAATATAAAAATAGAGATGTAAGAAGAGAATAGTAGAATCTTGTAATGTACATATATATTGGTCATCATTATGGTTTACTTCCATCAAAGGTGACTTTTTGCTACCTTGTACACATATGTAAATGATTTGCGTATATATGACACATGCAAAATCCTACATGAATTTCTTGCCCGTTCATTTTCATTCGAAGCTGTTATCATTGTGTTCTGGATGCAGTGTGCTTCCTAGTTTAATTTTTTTTGCAAAACCTCCTGCTTATATTTTATTGATCATCAGCTCATCTCAACTTGACGATTTGATATTTTACTTTTCTGCTTTATAAGAATTACTTGTGGCGGTAAACGAATAAAAAGACATACATATAAGTTAATAATAATTTGTTGCGAATACAGTGTAATATATTCTAATATTTTCAATTTGTAATGAGTATGAAAATTGTTTTTATCAGTGCAATAGGTGTTGTCAGGGTCAGTTGAAGTTCATGCAGTACAAACCAGTTTTGTGTTATTTTCAGTAATCTTTAGAAGTTATTGTATTAACGACGGATATTACCAATACTGTATATATATCTGTGATGAGACGACTGCGGTCGTCGTAATAGATTATGATTGAATACTTGATAAAATGCACATGATTCAGTTTCCTCGGTTTTTAATTGCTAGTCATATGTCAAATATTTATATTATTGATCGTTACTTTAATTCTGTAGGATGATTATCATGCGGCTTTAACCCGCCTACATGCTACTTTAGAATCAGCGTTCCGTTTTAATATGAATATTAAATTTGAAGTATTTATTCATAAAGTTGATTGTTTATCAGATGATCAAAAAATGGATATACAACGAGATATTACCCAACATGTAACAAGTGTCTTAGAGGATTTATTGTGCGAACAACCGTCGAATGCTGGAATTAGTATAGGGTAAGTGTAAGCTTAATGTTAATATTATTTATAGATTATTAGTTTAATCACTATCTCTAAAATATTTCGTTAGTCACATCGAGCTCAAAGACTAATGTTAACATAACTTCTTCGGAATGGTTCGGGTAGTTGATTCCTGCTCAATAGTGGTCTCAAAGTTAAATCTTTCTTGCCGGATAAACTTTTAGATATTCGAACCGTATTGCTGTAGTTGGCAAAATCAGTTGCCACTGTAAGCATCACATAAGGGTATTGATTACATATATGTAAGTGCAAAAACTAAAACTGTATTCTCCTATATTCTAGCGCTGATTTTCTTATCTCATACTCACTCGACTCATCACTCACTATATGGAAAGATTAAATTATTTGTTACAACTACTAATGACCAGATCGAAATGTGAGAAATTATAAATCAGGAGTGAGCATGACCGAATGTGCGACAGTCTAGAATGTAAAGTGATTCAGTTCTGCTTATTGATTGTCCTTACAAGTAGATTGTGTATTAGATACAGAGCAACGGTAACTGTAACTGTAACTAAACAATGCAAGTTGGGAATATATGTTTGTTGGGATATTCAGAAAAATATCTCAGAAGTTATTCTGTTAAGTCTAACGCTATCCTTGGACTTGAGATGGTATCATTTTCCTGTTGGCCAAATATTGTACAGATGTTATTTTCTATTTTATGGTACGATATGGTCTGCTTGATTTGTATATAAAGAGAGTATGTATGAAATGTAACAATTCATATCTTAGAGGTTGAGACTTGCGTTCTGGACTAAACTGGCTGGGCTAGACAGGAAAGCAAGACTCTAGGTTGTTCTCACGTGTTTTACGCGTCTTTGGTCCGGTCGATGATACGCTGCTCTCTAATCTGCGGTCACAGTTATAACAATGTTCGTCGTATTAATTTTTTCAGTATTTTATTGAGAAGATATTCAAAGCTCTCGACACCAATCCTAATGATTGTTATCTATCAAATATTTGGTAATAAATTTAGTTACTTGATAGAGCTTTGTGTAAAATCACTGGTTCGACAAGTATTGCGCAAAGATTGTTACTCATGTGTATCAGAGAGTTTTTATGTCAGGTAGGTGATACGCTGATCAAATCTCGCCTTTTAGCTAGCTGACTTATAGAATAAAGGAATATAGTATCTGTCTGAATATGATATGCAGCAATTATTATGTAACAAAAGAAATGTCCCATGGAAATTAGTTGTTGTTTTTTGTGAAGTCAGGTACTGATACCCATTCTTCTTATACATGATCACAACCGTCTACGTGTGTGCCTCATTGCTAGGAAGTGAATGGGGTTTCTTTGCCAATGATATATTCTATATATAGTTTTTATGAACCGGACGTTGGACCATGCCATTCTTCTTTTTATTGTAATGTCAAGAAAATGGTACTTGTTCCATAGTAAAGTGGATGTTTTTATAGGCTTCTTTGAAAAGTTTCAGCAGATTTTGTTTCATGTTTCTGATTATTACACGCAATGACGTCGTCATCAACTTACCTCGAGTAATACACCAATTTATCAATTTCTCCTCCGAACTTGGTTCTTCCTACATTAGCCATGAAAATATCTGCTAGGACAGGACCTAATGGACTTCCCGCTGCTACACAATCAGTTTGTCGGTATATGACATTCTTGAACTGAAACTGGATATCTTTTGTGCATATGATTAACAGTCGTTTGAGTTTGATGCTGGTAGAGGTAGGATACCAGAACGCTAGCAAATTATGTCTATACTTTTAAGAAGTGGTATTTTAGTTAACAATAATATTACATCAATGGAAACCATATTTATATAATTCATACTATCGGCAAATTCAATTGAATCTTTTGGTTTATACGCGACTAGTCGTTGACGGACTAGTTTTAACTTATCCGCTAGCCAACGTGCAACTTTTTGATAAGTTGAATTGACTATTGACATAATAAATTTGAGAGCAACATCTTGTTTATTTGTTTTTGGTAAAACATATATGTGAGACAAATGAGACTCATGAGGTCGTAGGTTATTGTAAATGAACTTATCAATCATTAGGAGATCATTGAGTACATTCTTGAATTATTCAAGATCAATTTGAATCTTCTTCTAAACTACACTATGTTAAAGGTAATCTTTTTTTAATTTTTTTAAAAAATCAAACCAGATTTCATTTAACTACAATATATGATCATTCAATTTTTGAAGCATTCAGTAAAGTGGTGCAAAAATTAATTCCTTACTTGGAAGCATTTGAACATTTATTAAATATATTTATTACAGTGAGTTTCCTTATTTTGTTTTTCTTAATCATTACAAATAAAATTATTCATTATATCTTGCTTTGTGTTTTATTATTTAATTTTTAACTCATTTTAAGTATTTAAAAGCAACTTTCTTCTCTAGAAGGTAAAATCAACTTGAAGATTGAATAGATCCTTTTGTAAACAAAACTTATCCTCAATTAACTAATACATACTAGTTCATATCTCTCTTTCTGTATTTCAAAGAACATCTTTCTATAAATAGTAATGAATTTGAATTTCTTATTTAGTCATATGCTTATTTACTACAGGATTTTGGACTATAACTTTTAGAGAATAGTTGTCGATATCGTCGAACCTCTGAGACAAGAATCAGTTAATTGCAATTCATAAAACAAAACCTAATGATCGTGAAATTTGAATGATCCAGTCACTATTCCGTTACACAGATCACTTGATCAGTACATGTTCATAACATTTGGTTATCGGAATGCATTATGCATTAAAAACATTTCAGGATTATCTTTGAGATTTTAAAGTGATCACATACGAAAACTAATAACTTTTGTTGATAGTTGAGTTAATTCAGACACTAAAGTGAAATCAATTCATGTAATCTGCTGTGACAAAGTTATTTTCTTAGTCTTTAAAATACAATGATTAATAGAAAGTTTTCATTGCAAAAATTACAATAAATATGTTTCTCGAAACATTTTATGTTTTCAGTAAGTAATGTCCTATACTGATACTGAAACTCAATCTTCTTGTATGCACACTCAAGCAACTACTGGAGTGAAAAGACTAAGAATAAGAAAAAAGCCTTTTCAACCAAACCTAATCGGTATATATATAATACTCAGTTGTCAGTTTACTCATTCATTGGTCCAAACTGTATTCTCGTAGGATATGTTTACATTTTAGTTTTATTAAAATAAGTCATCGGTAGTAATCAAAGTAAAGTTTAAGTCGGAACTCAGTAGTTAAAAATCACAAAAAAGCCGAATTCTCGGTAGCAGTAAGTATAGTAGAATATTTTAATCCTCAGGTGTTTCAAAACAAAGTCGAAGACACTCAAATGGGTCTCATGCTATCCTAGCTCAATGAGCAGACAGTCGTTACCAACTGCTGTAGTTGTTCTCAGACATCCGTTTATTCTTGACAATGACCAACTTTAAGCGCAAAAAGGAGCATCATCCTACATGAAAACCCCCACAATAAACTCAACGGTGATTGCAAACTGACCACATTAGCCATCGTGAGAGAGGCTAAATAAAAGATCACCGCTCATTTCTGAGCACATATCTCGACTCTGATCATGCCCTAATATAAGTCAGTCAGTCAGTCAGCTACAACGTAGGACCAGGCACATGTATGCATCCGCCCAGGTTGCCATACCTCATTAGCACAGCAAGATGAACACCGGATTCATAGGAGTGGTTAGGTCAAAGGTGGTAATATATATGAGAAAGATTGCAATAAGAATATAGTATAAGAAGGCCCTAATATAAACATGTATTTATGTCTTCTTCTATGCAAAAAAAGACGACAAAATTTCAAGAGTGTATCTAAGGAACAAATAGAAGGGCACTTAGTCGATTGTCAGCAACATCCACCTGGATATGGGTTGGCATGGCATACAGCAGTCATGATAAAAGCGATACGATCTGTAATAGACTAAAATCAAAATGTTAGTGAAAGTCTGCAACGTCTACTGAGCTGATAGACGTTTTTGAGTCTCATCAGTCTTAATGGGTTGGTGATTAGCACAATTGGGCCACGGATTCAACAAGCTTTATTGGCTTTTGGCAACTTGCATTACTTTTGACGTGACATACAAACATAGGATGAGTATACTGTGCAGCAGTCTGTTCTGTTCTACATTACGGCTGTTAATCGTGGCCTTTAAGAATAGAGAGTATTTTGAGGTTGCTAGTTTTTGTTTGTAAATACCCTCATAGGATTGCTCATAAAATTGGGGACCATGAAATTAGCGATTCTGAGGTTATGCACAGAGCAAAAATGGCAAATCGATTAATGAGTTAGTAAATCTCTATTGTCTGGAATGGTTAGGACATGTTTTGATGTATGCCCATCTACCACCTCACTCGATGCTCAATGATGTTTGGTGTACGAGTAGATTTTAAGAATGCTAGGTGCAGACAAACCAAGATACTTTTTACTTCATGTTGCACGCTTCTGATGATTTTGTGTGTGCTAGACTTTACTGAAGACCATTGTTTTCTCAGTCAGTCACAACGTAGAACATGTACGTATGTAGATCGGTTCAAGTTGGCATAACCGAAATGCTTTGCAAGTTGAACATGTTACTTGCAACGAGCACACCGAACCATGGACTCAACGAAGCCATCCTTAAGGATAGCATTTCCTCAGTGATTAACGTCATTACAGTCACGTTCACTCATCCACAGCGTGCTACTAAGATCTGTCATCATAATCTATTCTGTGATGGTTCCTATGTGATATTGCTTCTACTGGACCGACCCTATGTTATGGAGATATCACAGTATATGAAAGATTTTCAGTATGTCCAGTAGAGTGTATGACGATTGGGTCAGAAATTGCCTTTCGAATTCGAAGAATAGTCGTGCCACTTAAGCCTTGTGTAAGTATTCTAAATCATGCCGGATAATTTGATTTCTGTAGTTATTTTTGTTTAAAAGACTGTGGATGTTGAAATCTTCCACCAATATGATATAAGAAACGTGCTTTTTGAGAATCCGTTGGGTGAGTTTTATCAATAAGTGGTTTAGTTTTCGAGTTTCATGCAATTTTATATAAAACGATTATCAGGAAAGGACCTTTAATGCTCCTTAGGATGCATTACAAACGGGTCTGAAAATTTGTGTAGCATAAGCAACATCAAAATTCCATTTTTACTTTTGTCGAGGTTGTTGTCGTGTGTAGGGCGATTCCTAATATTATCTGGCATTTGATTGCTTCGCGTATATTTTTCAAATCTTTAATTTTTTCATCATGTTTCTTTCTTGTTTTACAGAATTCAATGGTGGACAAAGCATTTCTTTTTGATGTCACCAGTAAAATATATTTAGCAACAGATTCAAATGCAGTAGACATGCAGACGTATGAATTATGCTGCGATATGATTGATGTTGTCGTAGATGTGGCAGCAATCTACACGTAGGCTAGTAGTTAATGTGAAAACTATTGTCCCTATATACTTTTATTTTCAGAAATCTTCAGTGATTTTATATCATAAACTTTAAAAACTTTATTGCTCCAGAAACCATAAGAGTATCGAAATCAACATGTCTACCGGACATCGATTTAACATAAACCCCTTCATGACGTTGAAATTACCGTCTGAAATTATGCTGATAATTTTCCAGCACAATGCCTGGTCATGCAACATAAGTTATCATCTAATTTTGCTGTACCGTTGTTCAGCTAGCTACAGGTGATATGATAGTACGTACTGTATACCATCATAGATAGGTATATATGATAGATATCACTATTTCGTAACTAAACGTTATTCAATCTCTGGTTTCTAGTGGTATATTTGTATTTTCCACTAATCTGGCAGCACGTATGCAAGTAACATTTCAGGTTCAATAATGTCAGTCAGTCGTACGCAGCGTTGAACCTAGTACATGTAAGTATCAGTTCAAGTTGTACTACTCCTTTAGCACAACCAGATAAAGTTTTCAGGGCGAATCTCAGCTGAGTAGATGTGGGAATTTTAGTAGTGGTGGTCGAAAAGATTAGACATCGAAGATACAGTTGGAGAAAAAATATAAATTAGTGGTTTGAAACGAAATTATGGGGAAACAAGAAAATTAAAATGAAAGATGTGACAAACAATAAATGCTTCTGCGCGATTGCGAAAAATTTTCAGATATCTAGACTATGTCTCCAACTGTTGGCTATGATATTCATGCACAACCCAACCAGTTTGATCATACCTACATGGCTCAATCTAACAGTCAGTGTTCACCCACCCCTAATTTTCTTTAAATTAATCGTAAACCAGCTCGACTGTTAAGGCTCTATTTTGGACTGTTCTTCGAATTCGAAAGGCAATTTCTGACCCAATCGTCATACACTCTACTGGACATACTGAAAATCTTTCATATACTGTGATATCTCCATAACATAGGGTCGGTCCAGTAGAAGCAATATCACATAGGAACCATCACAGAATAGATTATGATGACAGATCTTAGTAGCACGCTGTGGATGAGTGAACGTGACTGTAATGACGTTAATCACTGAGGAAATGCTATCCTTAAGGATGGCTTCGTTGAGTCCATGGTTCGGTGTGCTCGTTGCAAGTAACATGTTCAACTTGCAAAGCATTTCGGTTATGCCAACTTGAACCGATCTACATACGTACATGTTCTACGTTGTGACTGACTGAGAAAACAATGGTCTTCAGTAAAGTCTAGCACACACAAAATCATCAGAAGCGTGCAACATGAAGTAAAAAGTATCTTGGTTTGTCTGCACCTAGCATTCTTAAAATCTACTCGTACACCAAACATCATTGAGCATCGAGTGAGGTGGTAGATGGGCATACATCAAAACATGTCCTAACCATTTCAGACAATAAAGATTCGCTACTCCATTTATCAGTTCAGTAGATGCTCCTGAAATCCATTTGTTTTCCTTGACATTTTGATTATAGATTGCCACAGGCCCTACTGCTGTCTCAACGACTGTCTGGATATCTCGCCAACCCACGTTCGGGTGGACGTTATTGGTGATCGGTTAACTGGAAGGACGATCGCAGACCTCAGTGGGGAATTTCTTAGGGATAGATGCGCACGTTTGAAGGACGTTTTTGATATCTCAGCCCGGTTTTTCAAAAGGCCTTACCACTGTATATAAACCCGTAGGGTAAAATGAGGTGTCTGCTTTTTACGGTCGACCGTTTCTAACTTCTTCCTTCCATTGTTAGGAGGCAACACCACTGCACTTTGATATGTGATATTAAGTTCATACGAAATTGTCTAAACTGTTTTTGTATGGTAAAGGAAATCGTAAACTGAATCTTCGCTTATCTTCTCTAAATTGTCAAGTGATTGTTCTCCCAAGTTTAAGTACTTCGAACTTTTACTGCATGGATTTTGACCAACTTCCTATATATCATTTGCGCCAATGTCGTCTTTCTGTCCTGCTCATATAGCTAATATGTTTGATTTGAGATATTCTTTCATTGGATATCCAATACTTTTGGACAGTTTGTCACAAGTGCGTATGAGTTCCACAAGCACTCCAGTTTCATACTTCTCATGGAAAGTCAAATAGATGGTGTTATTAGACTTCAGTCCTTTCTTGTCAACCCACTCATTCCCTATCACTAATCCCGGTATATATCTCAAGACAAAAAACAAGTGCGTTTTGTGTTAGGCATATGTAATTCCCGAAGTTACTTCACCTCAGTTAAGTTCATTCTAAAAGATACCTTCTCATCTTTTTTTGCAGTCCCCAATCTAATTTGTTGATCCGCCTGTATCTGAGCAAACTGGGGCAACAATTATCTTAAACAATGACAGAGCATTATATCTTCGTGGCGTCAATCAGTATATGGCTCTAGCTTGTTTGATGTATGAAGAATCTTTAGAGAAAATGGGTAAACGATTGTTTCGTCTGTCTTTCAATTCATTATTCTTAAAACATTAATAATAGTATGTATATTAGGTACAAAATATAAAATAATTTATTCATTTTCACAGGTTGTAAACATTTGCATTCTAACTATGCTTATGTGACTCAATACTTCATCGTTCAATAAGAAAACCATTGTACCACGATTTGTGTTGAAGCGAGTGAGTAAATAACAGGCTCAACTCTTAAAAAACCGGCAATTCGTCAACTCAAATTAAAGCACCTTACAAATCACTGTATAACACCTAATAAAGATCCATTCTTCCCTACCGTTTACAAATTAATGACAAGATATCTTTCTCGACTACGTCCGATGTTTTGCAAGTTTTCAAACATTTTCAGAACCAACTCTAATGAAAGAGCTCCCTTTATAAACAAATAATAGGTATTTTTGCTCCTGTTTTTATGAAGGTTGATCGACACAATGTCTAGTAAGTAGCAAGCATCATCCCTCCCTAACTTGTGTATGAGTACACATGTAAGTCGGTGGATTTTATCGTTTTCGCAATAATTATGCAGGGGTATCTGTTTTTTGGAAGTTTGAAATAATAGAATGATCGAAGAAGACGATGAGCTTTAAAACTTCAAAAGTAGAGTTGGTTTATACTCTGACAAACAACTACCACGCATTACATTCTGAAGTAAACTATTCAATGATTCTTGTTATAACACATTAGTTTCTAGAATTTGCTTATTTTTATACGTTTGTAGGCTTAATAGAATTCAATTTTTGTGTCATTAAGAATGCATTACAACAAATGCTTGAATTAAATCAACAACATGCAAAGCGAGAACTAGCTGCTTTGTTGACACAACAGCCGTCTTCAGATCCTATACCAGAAGATGAAGAGCCAGTAAACGAACTTGATTCGAGTGGAAAGGATGAAGATGGACAGGAAGTTAGTGATGGAGAACCAAAATATAAAAATAGAGATGTAAGAAGAGAATAGTAGAATCTTGTAATGTACATATATATTGGTCATCATTATGGTTTACTTCCATCAAAGGTGACTTTTTGCTACCTTGTACACATATGTAAATGATTTGCGTATATATGACACATGCAAAATCCTACATGAATTTCTTGCCCGTTCATTTTCATTCGAAGCTGTTATCATTGTGTTCTGGATGCAGTGTGCTTCCTAGTTTAATGTTTTTTGCAAAACCTCCTGCTTATATTTTATTGATCATCAGCTCATCTCAACTTGACGATTTGATATTTTACTTTTCTGCTTTATAAGAATAAAGAGACATACATATGATTTAATAATAATTTGTTCTGAATACAGTGTAATATATTCTAATATTTTCAATTTGTAATGAGTATGAAAATTGTTTTTATCAGTGCAATAGGTGTTGTCAGGGTCAGTTGAAGTTCATGCAGTACAAACCAGTTTTGTGTTATTTTCAGTAATCTTTAGAAGTTATTGTATTAACGACGGATATTACCAATACTGTATATATATCTGTGGTGAGACGACTGTGGTCGTCGTAATAGACTATAACTGGTCGCATAGTTAAACTTTTAGATATTCGGACCGTATTGCTGTAGTTGGCAAAGTCAGTTGCCACTGTAAACATCAAATATATATGGGTGCAAAAAATAAAATTGTATTATACTGCCGAGTCTATTGCGATCAGACAACTTTTAGTTCGATTCCGAAAATTAATGTCAGTTAATATTTACTTGATGAACAGATTTGTAGAGGCTACTGTCGTATATCATTTTAGTTTTGTCCTAACTGGAGTTACCAACAGTTTAGCTAATTATGCAAAACAAGATATATACATCTTGAAGTAAGGCATTTTTTCAACTTGCATATCTGTTGTGGTCCCTTCCGATTTTTAATACACTAAGACTTCGACGGTATAATATGAAAGTATACATTCCGTCTCGTGTTTATTTGTAAACCAAATAGTTATTGCTAATGACATGTTTACGAAATGACTTCGTAACCTTTTAGGCGTTCGTTTCTTAAGAGAATGATCTTTGACGATTCAGATAGAACCTAATGAGTGTGTGTTTCTGGTAATATATCACTGAAATATTCTCATATATACTAGCGCTGATTTGCTTATCCCATACTCACTCGACTCATTATCACTCACTATATGGAAAGACTAAATTATTTGTTACAACTACTAATGACCAGATCGAAATGTGAGAAATTATAAATCAGGAGTGAGCATGACCGAATGTGCGACAGTCTAGAATGTAAAGTGATTCAGTTCTGCTTATTGATTGTCCTTACAAGTAGATTGTGTATTAGATACAGAGCAACGGTAACTGTAACTGTAACTAAACAATGCAAGTTGGGAATATATGTTTGTTGGGATATTCAGAAAAATATCTCAGAAGTTATTCTGTTAAGTCTAACGCTATCCTTGGACTTGAGATGGTATCATTTTCCTGTTGGCCAAATATTGTACAGATGTTATTTTCTATTTTATGGTACGATATGGTCTGCTTGATTTGTATATAAAGAGAGTATGTATGAAATGTAACAATTCATATCTCAGAGGTTGAGACTTGCGTTCTGGACTAAACTGGCTGGGCTAGACAGGAAAGCAAGACTCTAGGTTGTTCTCACGTGTTTTACGCGTCTTTGGTCCGGTCGATGATACGCTGCTCTCTAATCTGCGGTCACAGTTATAACAATGTTCGTCGTATTAATTTTTTCAGTATTTTATTGAGAAGATATTCAAAGCTCTCGACACCAATCCTAATGATTGTTATCTATCAAATATTTGGTAATAAATTTAGTTACTTGATAGAGCTTTGTGTAAAATCACTGGTTCGACAAGTATTGCGCAAAGATTGTTACTCATGTGTATCAGAGAGTTTTTATGTCAGGTAGGTGATACGCTGATCAAATCTCGCCTTTTAGCTAGCTGACTTATAGAATAAAGGAATATAGTATCTGTCTGAATATGATATGCAGCAATTATTATGTAACAAAAGAAATGTCCCATGGAAATTAGTTGTTGTTTTTTGTGAAGTCAGGTACTGATACCCATTCTTCTTATACATGATCACAACCGTCTACGTGTGTGCCTCATTGCTAGGAAGTGAATGGGATTCCTTTGCCAATGACACACACTTCTCATTTGGCTGATTTCTGATTGTTATAATACATCACTAGTCTGTTAACCGAACTTACTGTGCAGTTAACAGAACCAAGTCATTTCATAAGAGCTTGTGGCAAACCTATACTAAAGTCGATTTATTTATGGAAACCTGAAGATGCAGATCTCTTAATTGAGCTCTAATGTAACACCTGTTAAAGGTAATAATGGATGTGCTTCCCGTCTTATCAATAATTAGAAATTTATGTCGATCTTTCAATAATGACGACTAAGCAGGATATTCGCATACGGTAAAACATGAGTACAAGTGCACTGGCTTTACAACGGTTTATGCTTTATAAGTTGTACATCCAGTTATTATTTTGGTGTTGTATTGACAGTTCCGCATCCCAGTTTTCTTTTTGCATCAAGTAGGTCGCAAACGAGACTTCATAACAGTTGATGTATACTTCTTTTGTGAGGATTTTACGAAAATAATTTTTGAGGCTGAAAATGTTGGAGTTGTGATTACATATAGCACATGATGCGGGCATCTAACCCTTAAACTATACTTGATCGCGTATATACCCAGGTGAGAAATTCCTGGTATCGACTTATTAACAAATAGAAATCAAGCAATGGACTAGAGTTTCGTAAATTCTCTTTGATTACCTCGCTAAGTTTTTTTTGTTTCAAGCTCAAGAATTACATCAGGCTTATTACCTCATATGGATGGAAAAATTCTCGATCGACGTTTCTGACCGTGTAAATCCATTGCAGTTATCGTGCTTAGATGATTCTTACTCATGCTTTCTAAGAACGTACTTCAATAATGCAACTGAGGAAAGTAGCTTCGTATTTATAGATCAAGAAAACCACGTATGTGTTACAGTCAGCACTCCAAACATCTTAAACTAGCGAGGGCTTGATGTCTAAGGCTATTAATACTACGAACTCGTCCATACTGAACAGTATCCTACAGTTTAACCTCTGACAGGTTAATAACCGAGCCTTAACCTTGCGTACGATACGTGCGTAAGGCGGGAGAATAGCATTCCATTCGCGAACTAAATAATAAATACAACTGACGTTACCCCATCTCATTCGGCTATTCATTCTAAAAGCAAATGCTGACCTTAGGTGCCTGTCTCCTCGGACACAAGTAGAGAGACCTGGGGAAATTCCGAAGCCTAGCCTGAGGACAAAAGCAGACAACGTACACAGAGACGCAGTCCCCCTGTTTAAGACCCAGATTTGATATTTCCTGGCTTCAAGTTCGTAGTGTAATTATTACCTAGGAATGTCGTCTGTTTCCCCATTCACTTATGCATGTTCAGTTGCCTAAGTCATAAATCACGCCGAATCCCATCACCTTTCCATTCACCATCATTTTTTTACGTCTTCCCGTTGATGCGATGTTATGTTACTCAAATCAAAAGACTAGACAAGCAAAATATCCAGTCACTTACTAGGGAACGAACATCAATCCCAAGTATCCATTACGAAGATCCCGGTGTTATCTGATAATTATCTTCCAAAATGTGCTTACACCAGTTAATTTAAAATCCCAAAGAATTCATGTAAAATGAAGTTTGACCGAAACACTACGCGACTTGTTTTCGGAATGGTGAGGATTTGTAGTTCAGTTGAATGATTTACTACGTAACTTTATGGTACTGACCAGTCATATCTACATGCAGTTTACCTCAATCCGATAACTCGATGAGTTCACAATTCACTTATAAACCATCTAACTCAGTTACACAAACAGGTACAAAGAATTAAATTCTTAAACAAAGATCTGTCTGCATTTGATGTTAGATATACGTCAGGACGCTGCTAAAAAAAATACTTACTCGGCATTAGGAAATAGTCCAGTTGCCGAAGCTTTTAAATCCGTAGAGAAAGACCCACTGTCGACAGTTTCTAGTATCATCGGCAATCGACAAATGATTTGTCAGCAGTGTAACTACAACATCAAATAACAACTACTACTGTCATGGTGGTTTACGGTTTCAGGTTGTTGTCAACTTCCCCAAACTCCATGTTCTCGGGAAATTGAACAGAACTTGAGGAGAACCCCGCAGCTTCATCAAAATAGGAGGTTTGCGTTCATAGGTTCGTCTGACTGAAAATTTCAGCATGGAGTTTAAACTGTTGACGTATGAAATATATATATCGTCTATTACTTATTAGTAGGTTTCTAAGTACAGAAAAGCGGGCTTGCGTCTGAGTTGGTTACGTTTCGTGGGAAAATGTGTTGTGATTACGAATGAAAAGCTAGTAATTTAACAACGACCTTTTATTTGGAATACATTAACGTAACCTTCTGGCTTCTCTTTCCGTTTCCAACAAGGTTAAAATATCACCTTCTCGAATGGGGCCTTTCACGTTTCTTATGATTGTCCTATTAGTATCATCCAGAAATTCCACACGGACCTGTGTACATTGACCCTGAGAACCGGTTCTGCCAACAACCGCTCTTACCTACACCATAAAGTAGACGTATGACTATTGCCGAAACCTACTCTTGCAAGCTTGGTCTGAACGACAGCTTTGTCCATGTTCCCCAATTGAATTTGTAACAACCAGCTCTATGTAGCTCAACAAAAATCAATAAACAAGGTCAATCGTAGAAACTAAAGCATCGATGCTTTAACTGCAAGGCTTAGAATGAATCTCAGTGAATCTTCTTCTCTTACATTAACATACTCCTGATTCGAATGGTTCAAGATGTGTTGGATGAAACAGAAGATTTCTGTTAACCAGCTTTCATACGACAAAAAACAGTGTACATCGATGTCTCCATGTGGGGACCTAGTTATGTGAAGCTGAAAAATTGAAATAATTGTAGATAGTTCAGTACGATCAACCTTTTCAAGCCGTTAATGGCATATTAAGTTACCTTAAAGTTGGTTGAAAATCTTCAGCCGGCAAGCATTTCCAAAAGTTGACGGATCGAACCTAGGTTCGATTACTGTTTCAGTTGCTGCGTTTTCCAACTGAACTCCAGATATTCCCCTAAATTGTGTTCTGAAACTGAGCTTACACTGTTTTTATGGATAATACCTAGGGGTTTTTACGATGCTACTAGATGTCCGAAGATACAAATGGTTATAGACGGAATAGAAAAAGCTTTCGCTTAACGGGCTTCCCTATATAGTAGCAGTGGGTCAACAATAACTCCGGGCGTTAACCTAAGTATATTAATGATAAAACAGGAAAAAGAAAAATACGTTCGTAAATCATAGTGAGGTACTGTCCTTAATCCTTATTAACCTGTCAATTTTTTTAAGGATTCCTGGGAAGTCTCTTCGAATAACTCAGTCATCTGCAAATTCCAACACTTTACCACTCTTGAGAAGTAGAATATGTGTCTACACTTTGCTCTGCTGTGTTGTGTCTCTAGTTTCTGTGTGTTATTCCCAAGGTTTGGGCTGAAACTAAGCCTAAGTATATGTTTAAGGAGATCCTGAGAGTTGTTTGAGTTGTTAATAGCCATTAGAAAGTCACCTGTATGACGCCTGAACTAATGATCCAAGGTTTAGGAACTAAACGCGCTCTTTAAGAGACTTGAATTTGGGTCCCTGAACTGATTTCGTGGCTCACCGCTAGATACGTTTCAGAGTGTCTTTATCATTTTGGAGTGAAGGATGAAAGGTTGAGTTTCCGTTCTGCGAATGGGAATGAATAAAACTGCCGAAGATTAGGTGAAAAGTTCTTCAATCGAATCGGTCAAAACTACCCTTCAACATTACCAGTGCAAGGTTTGCTCGAAAGGTATTTTTGTTACAGTTAGCGTAAGAATTCAGCTCGTATGGTGCCAACACATTTAGATTTCTTTCAACTTAGGATACCTCTGGAGAGGAGCTACCTAAATTGTATTTTTACCATGCAACATGTTTCAGATGGACTAATTTACGTATTGAAGTGTCTAAGGTAAGTCCACTGCTGTCCATCCGACTCTGGATTCGAGTTAGAACATCTAGGAGTTCCAGATTATACTATTGGTTGCATAATTCACACAGCGTTTCAGATCCTCGGCGAAAAGTGGTGAACCTGACAATACTTGCTGTGGAAGATCGATCATATTAATCAAAAAAAGAAAAGGTCCTGGTACTGAACTTAATTGGATCTTAATAGGCATTCTAAAGTCTAAGGAAAAATGAAGTCACCCCCGACATACAAATGGCAACATTTTAGGTACAACACGAGTAAATCGAATAAAGGTGATTTGACACCTGATCATTTTAGTTTATTGATAAGACATATATGGTTGACCCTATGAGTAGTTTTTGAGAAGTTAAGGTATATGACGTCAACCTTCCCCTTGCAATCAACAGGTTAGTTATACATGAGTGACTTCCTCTAAAACCGTGGTGATGGGGTGAAAAGAATTTTATGCTTAGTAAGAGTTGTGTACGTAGTGACCGAGAACAGTGTTGTAGACGATCGAAAGTATTTGAATACAAAATTGGATAATGTTTCATTAAAATCTGAGGGCCGTGCACTAAACAATCCACTTGCAAAATGTCAATCAGTTGTCTTATACTTCACTGTTCTTTCGTTTCTACATTATCCATCCTCTGTTCTCGTTTTCTTTAATTTGATCACCATAATCTTCTGCCTGCATGCACTTCACTTCCGACTGATGATAGATACTACTTATATCTATCGACATCAGCAGTACACACCATAGTGCAGACGGTTACATATCAGGGACTCTATACTTATCAAGGGCATATTTCGAAGAGCTGCCGTTCTGTAGCTTGTAACGTTTAGGAAGTGGAAGAAAACACAAGTACCTATAGAATGAGAACCTCAAGGATCTTGGACCATCAAAGCGTCATTCAGAACAAAGGAGGAGAGAATTACAATAAATGTTATCCAATGTTATGCAACCGTCAATGATGGCAATGACGACGATAAACATCAGCTTTACGAGGGCCTGCAACCGACCATAGCGAAATGCCCAGGAAAGGACCTGACCATCGTGATGTGAAATCTAAACGCCAAAGTCGGAATGGACTGTAGTGAAGGAGAACACAGATGAGGACAACCGAATTATATTTAGTACAAAATTACAGTTACTTGGTAAAATAGAAAAACCATACTATAATACTGGATTTGCAAAGTGTTCAATAATTGTCTCGAACTTCGTTGTTCTTGCATTTCCATACCAATTGCTTTCTATTCCCGCTCTTCCTTTCTTGATCTTCCCCATCTTCTGCTGCCAGACATTACATTCCTGACTCGCGTTTTATACTAATTATATCAATATAAGTAGCACGCACCACATGGACAACACTCGGTATGATGATATCATGGGACGACATGGACTGACGGGGAGAAAGGAACGAGAATGGTGAGAGATTCGCAGACTTATATTCATTCAGCAAAATGCTGATAGACGGCACAATATTCCCACATAAACACATAGAAAATGCTACATGAATCTCACCAGATCACACCACGGATAACCAGATCTATCAAATTGGCATCAGTAAAATATTCAGAAAGTCAATGGAAGAAATGAGGAAAAAGAGAGGAACTGACATAGTTTCAGATCATCCTCTGGTGGTGGCCATGATTAAACTGAAGCTAGAGCATGATTGGACAGCTGGACAAACAACATTACAAAGGTTCAGTAGAGCCTTCCTTCGACATACTGACAAACTGAACGAATTGAAGATAACTCTCGACAGCCGTTTGCAAACCTTGCAGGATCTACAGGAAGAAGAAGAAGAAACGATTATGGAGAACGACTGGAAAGAGATCAGAGAAGCGTTAACGTCAACATGTCAGGATGTGCTGGGTTGCAAGAAACATCATCATAAGGAATGGATCTTCATGGAAATAGTGAACAAGAAAGGAAAAACAAGAACTAGTATGCACTGTTACTACCATTTTGTGTACTTTGATCGAGGCGAAGTACCAAATGCTGTTAGCATTCTAGACACAAAAAAAATCAACAGGACGGGATAAACTACAACATGAAATATCGAAAGAAATTGCAGAAAATATTGCTGTTTCACTGACTACGATACTTTTTCTGTTACTTAGTTGAATTGAGTTACCTGCGAACTGGAAGGATGAAATTGTCGCTCCTATTCCCAAAGCAGGATCAAGAGCACTTGCGTCAAACTGTAGACTTGTAAACCTTACCAGTGTTGTGGTTAGAATACTGGAAAGAATATTCAGAAGATCACGATAACATTCGTGGCGACCAAAAGCTTGTTATAGACCGATTAACTGTTAACGAAGCTGGGAAATCTAGGAATTGACTGATGTTTCCTCTAGTGCATCAAGGATTTCTTGATACATCGTAGAAAAAATGTAAGAGAGAATCCAAAATGCTTCTTCTAGAAATCAGTGCATAACGGAGTATCCCAAGGCTCTGTCTTAGGTCCTTTGCCTTTGGTACCTTTTGCAAGTAAACTATCAAGTGCAGTTGAGTACTCGATGCCATTTTACGCCGACGATGAAATAACAGGGGACGTAAATGTGTGTGCTTTTCAAATAGGCTTAGATGTTCTGGTTAACTGGTTTCAAGAATAGTAGATGTCTGTTGACACCGCCAAGTGTGACCGTATTCCAAGAGGGGACATAAAGTTGTAGCGTGGCGTCGAGTTGTGATTAACTATGAACACCGCTACCAAGAAACACGTGCCAAATAGATCAGAAGGCGTAAGAAGCTCGTTCCAAATGACTCCATAAAATCCCCGAGAAGCCGAATACCAGAAGGCAATTAATGGACCAAGTCGAGGTTTATTAGCTGGCGATCTCGTGGCATCGAAAGGATACCGAGATCGTGCCAGGATACAACCTTGGTTACAGAAGGTAACCGAATTCGCGCGAAGTTACAATCGAAGTGTAAGTAAAGAATGGAAGCACAAAATAGCTGTCATTAGCACAGTCAAACAAAAGCACGTTAAAACAAACACTGGTACAGTTGGTTATAATAATAATTGTTTTTATTAAACCAGTCGTGTTCTCGTGATAAACGTGAGTCACTACAGGAGCCCCCCGCTAGAAAGGGTTTACACTTTCGATAAATAGCGGTTTGAATCGTGGGACTGATCGGCTGACGAGCGATTGTAGGACGGAAGAATTGGCGAACAGGAAAGCGATCGTTGATCGTCGAGTTGCCAACGAAGGTCGTTTTCGGAGAACGGTACCAGGAGCGATGTGTTGTATTTATTGCTTGAGTTGGCATGCTACACCAGAGTGGTTTGTATCCAGAATCTGAAGATGGCGTTCGTAGGGGTCCGGACCAGAAACGCTGCAGACGTAGGACGAAACCACGTTGAGCCGATGAACCAGAAGCGACCATAACGACCAAGTTCGAGACCAAGCGTGTGCCAAGCATTCGAAACCAAGATATCGACTGAGTACGTTGACAAGAGCGTGGGTGATCAGGCCAGCTTTCGCCAAAGTTGACTGAAGTCGACGGAACCAAACGGAGATGGTCGAAGGCGTGGGCTCAGGAAACAAAAAGAAAATCAAAAAAGAGAAGAGTGTAGCATGCGTGTAGTATAGGAATAATCCTACACCGTATCGGTTGTTGACTGTGCGGCTAGTCGCGGAAGCGTACGGGTAACCGTACTCGGCGACCGGAACGTGAGACGGTAGTCTCGTTCGCGTCGCGTGAGCCTGCAATCTCATCCGAAGTCAGGGCGGCGTGGTCTGCTGATCTGGACGTGAGACTGTCGTCTCGTCCGTAGACGGTGCAGA